GGCAGGCTATGTGAGGGGCGCAGGACACAGTTTAGTCAGCTAACAGGCTGGTGACGCCCTGTGGGGTTAGACTGAGGAGGCTGAGGCAGGCTATGTGAGGGGCGCAGGACACAGTTTAGTCAGCTAGAGCAGGCTGGTGACGCCCTGTGGCGTTAGACTGAGGAGGCTGAGGCAGGCTATGTGAGGGGCGCGGGACACAGTTTAGTCAGCTAGAGCAGGCTGGTGACGCTCTGCGGGGTTAGACTGAGGAGGCTGGGGTAGGCTATGTGAGGGGCGCCAGGACACAGTTCAGTCAGCTAGAGCAGGCTGGTGACGCCCCGCAGGGTTAGACTGAGGAGGCTGGGGCCAAGCTAGAGAGGGCACTAAAGGCCATGCCAGTTGTTTAGACTCCACCCTGCTGGAAACAGCCATTAAGGAGGCAGGATTTAGAATCAGACTTCAAAGCCCCATCTGAGTAAAAAGGCAGAAAAGGAAATAGGAAACTGAAGATTAATTTTTTTATTCTATCACATACACAAGTAGGGGAATTACGTGGATTCTAAAATATCTGACTTAAAAAAAGAAAGAAAGAAAGCCCATTTCGACTTACCACTAAAGCAGAAGAACACATGCCAAAAGACAGGACACCTCGTAAGTTAAGCCGGTCCCCAATGATGCCACTAATGAAAAGGCCCTGAAAAATAAAGCATTTTATTTTGCAGCTCCAAATAATAACACAGTTTGAAAAAAACTAACAAGCATTCCAAAGCAAATGAGGCAACCACAGCCAGCCCTGACAGTATTTAAAACTGCGTCTTCTCGTGCCTGGACCGGCCGTCTCTATCAGCAGCACAAACACCTCACGGAAGCACAAGGAGCTTCTGCACGCTATACTCTACACGCCCTGCTCGCCAACACACCGTAATGCAGTGCAAACTTTGGTTTCATTGCATCCCCACTGCTAAAAGGAGACAAAAAATATGCCAGGAATTAATAATTCTGATAAACAGGCATACCTATACTCTTCCTCCTCTAGATGAGATTACCTCCAAACCACCAGCTGTAACGCATTTCCCAAAGGGGCTCCGTGTGCTAGTTACACATGCATTAGATGCGGGTGCAGCTGGGAGCCTGTGAACAGCAGAATGGAAGCTCGGTGCCACACCGGCCGCCTGGTCGCCAGGACCCTGGGCTTCCTGACAGCACAGGTGGGACAGTCGGGTGCTTCAGGACAGGTGCAAATGCCCTACCTTCCGCTCTCCTCCCTCCCTCCGGGCCAGGAATTAAACAGGAAGGGAGGCTGAAGACCTTAAGGGCAACACACTTCAGGTTCCTCCAGAAAGATGCAAAATGAGTAAATGCGGTGACTAAAAACCTAAATTCAGACAGGACCCAGTGTCTCCAGTAAACTGACTCTATCAGAGAAAACGCAGACGATCACTGGTACGACAAATGTTTCTTCCTAATTCTCGTCAAGCTACGTCTACCTCCAAAGGGACAACGCATTAGAACAGATTCTGTGTTCCAGACAGCTGCCTCTCACACTGTCTTATGCTGTGTATAATAATGGGGATGAAGAAAATCAATTCTGTTTCAGATTAGGGAATCAACTTACTCTGCATTACTCCAGAAAGCAAAATGCCTGGAAGTTTCAGAAGGCAAATTCAGCTCAATATAAAGAAGAACTATGATCGCTGCTTTTCATGGCACTTGTCTTTTCTCAGTCTGTTCAATCCTGCAGGCAGGTATCACTGTCACAGCTGTTCAGATGAGGAGACTAAAGATCACACAAGGTGACGTGCTGGTCCACACACAGCACAGCAGAGCTGGTAAACATGGCAGGTGTGCCAGACACTAGGGTGGTCCAGCCAAAGCCCAACAAGTGTGTGGTGGGATTCTGTCCAGAAAATGCCCAGGGAGGAGCTAGGCTAGATTATCTGCATCTGTTCCAACTGTTTCTCTAAGTCTCCTTTCTGAAGAAAAGATATTCTGATAATACCCCCAACAGATACTCAGAGATTACCGAGGACTCGCACCCGACACTGCTCATCACCCTGACATTCACAGTTAAAAGGCTTCCTTGTAACTGACACACGCCAAAGGCAGGAAATGAGACTGTCCACAGCCC